CAAGAGAGATCTGTGGGCTATGTGAATGAAGATGCTCAAGGACCGGATTTTTAAAAAAACGTATCTTTTGAGTCAAGCAGTGGGGGCCCATGCCTTTAATCCCAGCACTCAGGAGGCAGAGGCAGGCAGATCTATGTGAGTTTGAGGCCAGCCTGGTCTACAGGAGTGAGATCCAGGACAGCTAGAGCTACACAGAGAAACCCTGTCTTGAAAAACATTCAAAACCCATCTGTCTGTCTGTCTGTCTGTCTTTGTGGGCCTTCAGTCAGAATCAGCCAACTTACCTGGTCCTTACCTGAGAGGGGGAGTGTGGCTTGAGAAAGGGCAGGTAAAGACACTAAGAAAGAGGCAGAGACACAGGAGGGCAATCCAGTGACTACTGAAGGCCCCAAGTTTATTCTTCAACATTCTTAAGTACCCCAACCAAAAGGGGGAAAGGGCATGGCAGAAGATTTTATTATCATGTATAAGGAGCAAACAGACTTTCTTCCCTTAATCCTCTAAGCACTTGGTAACCACACCTGTCCTGTGTGTTTACTCTTGAAGGTCAAGAGCCCAAGTCTGTTGTTATTTAAATAAGACATCAGCTACCAAGACCAAAACATCCTGCAGTAGTCAAGCCATAGAGCTTTAGGTCTTTGGACTTAAGGACAGTTTTGAACTCTCTGACTTTGAGGCAAAATGAAGCAGATCCATCTTTATGCGCCACCCACCCCATACACACATATATAAAACATTGATTGTTTGTTGGGTGACACATGTATGTCCTCAAGCACATAAGCAGTAAGGACTACACACACACCCTATAGGACATGTAAGCTGAGAACCCTCCGAGCAGCTGTCAGGAGGCCATGTGCTGCAGAAGTCAAGTTTCATAGACTTATTAGAGATGAAGGACAGCAAAGGAGTGGGGAGGAGGAAGTCTCAGAGAAACAGTGGCTATACATTCAGAAGTAATCTTGGTTACACATTTGGGCCATGGTTGGGATAATGGAAGCCTCCAACACCTTTCCAATGTGGATGCAGTTATTGGGGGGGGTCACTGTCCCTTTACTTTTTCATATTCACATTCAAATCTTGAGGAGTTGTCAATCCCACAAGTTGAGAATAAGAACACTACCACAAATTAAAACCAAATGTGAACCAAGCTTTAATTAAGTACTGGCCAGATGGATGGGGTCTGGCTGGGTCCAAACCCAGGTTCTTGGGAAATGGCCTTGAGTTATGATTTGCAGCAGTTTAAATATTTTTCCGATCAGGTCCAATCTGGGGCAGGCATACATCCTGAAGTACTTCCAGCCTATAAATCTCCTGCCCACATGTGATCAAGCACATCTGGTACAGATGGGCCAAACAAACTTGTTTAGTGGGGGTGACAACAAGCGGCCATAGTAGTGACCCCAAACACAAACTTGGGGTCACTAGACCCCCTCCCTCCATTCCTCTTCCCAATATCATTGACTCCTAGCTATAGTGGAGAGGGTGCCTAAACTGTCCTCTATAATCGGATTGATGACTACCCTAATTGTCATCATAGAATTTCCATCCAGTAACTGATGGAAGCAGATGCAGAGATCCACAGCCAAGCACTGGGCAGAGTTCCTAGAATCCAGTCAAAGAGAGGGAGGAGGCATTAAATAAGCAAGGAGGGTCAAAATCATGATGGGGAAACCCACAGAGACAGCTGACCCAAGCTCGTGGGACCTCATAGACTCTGGGGAAGCTGCACAGGACTGAACTAGGCCCTCTACATTGGGTGATAGTTATGTAGCTTGGTCTGTTTGAGGGGCCCCTGGCAGTGGGACCAGGATTTACCCTGATGCATGAGCTGGCTTTTTGGAGCCCATTCCCTGTGGTGGGATGCCTTGCTTAACCTTGATGCTTGGTCCTGCCTCAACTTGATGTACCAGGCGCTTAGTTGACTCCCTATGGGAGGCCTTACCCTTTCTGGGTAGTGGATGGGTGTGTGTGTGTGTGGTTGAGGTGGAAGAGTTGTGGAGGGAGCATGATGAGGGAAGACAGGGGAACTGTGGTTGGTATGTAAAATGAATACTAAAACAAAAAAGATGTGTGGCTGATCCTCCTCTGTTGTGGCTGCTGGAGCCAGGGTTTTGCTTTAAAGCACATAATGGTGCAGTATCTCTGTTTTGTGTGATATAAGAAAAGAAAAAGAAAGAAAGACTGTTGTGATGGCTGCACAACAATGTAAATAATGTCATTGAACTGTACTCTTACAAAGGACTAAGGACTGGAAAATGTGAGGCCCTGGTTGGTCTTAGTGTCACTAGCTTGGAACTTGATGTTTAGACTCAAGTACTTCTGGAGTACCCTCTGGCTTGGAGCAGTCCAGGGTTATTTTATTCTCCTCTTCCTCCCTTCTTGCTCTTCAGTGCCTCACTATGGAGCCATGGCTTGTCTGGATCTCTGTATGTAGACCAGAGTGGCCTTGAACTCACAATGATCTTCCTGTCTCTGCCTCCCAAGTTCTGAGGTTATAGGTGTGAGACAGCATGCTTGGCTTCTTATTTATTTATTTATTTATTTATTTATGCAGGGAGGGACATTAATAAATGGCAAACTTTAATTTTAAATAGATCTCCTTTATAAAGTACACATATGTGCTCACCTAATCTGTCTCTGTGACTAACCTGGGCTACAAGCATGCATCTAAAACATCAAAGAAAATAAACAACCTGCCCAAATAACAATTCTGTCTTAGGGTTTCTATTTCTGTGATGAAACACCACCAAAGCAACTTGGGAAAGAAAGGGTTTACTTGGCTTACACTTCTTTATCACTGACCAGCATCAGAGGAAGTCAGAACAGGAACTTGGAAACCAGAAGCAGAAACGCATGGATGCAGAGGAGGTTGGACAATTAGTGTTGCTTACTTCATTGTTCCCCATGGCTTGCTCAGCCTGCTTTCTATTTATTCTTTTTCTTCTTTCCTTCATTCTTTCTTTCTTTTTTTTTGGGTTTTTCGAGACAGTATTTATTCTTATTTTATGTACACTGGCATTTTGCCTGCATGTAAGTCTGTGTAGTGCGTCAGATCTTGGAGTTACAGTTGTTAGCTGCCATGTGGGTGCTGGAAATGGAACCCAGGTTGTCTGGAAGACCAGTTAGTGTTCTTAACTGCTGAGCCATCTCTCCAGCCGACCAGCCTGCTTTCTCATAGAACCCTTCTCTCTTATAGGACCACCAGCCCAGGGACGGCACCATGTACAATGGGCTGGCCCCACCCTCATCAATCACTACACTTGAAGAAGCCATCCTACAGCTGGATCGTAATGGAGGCATTTTCTCAGTTGAGGTTCCCTCCTTTCAGATAACTCAAGTTGGCATAAAACTTTCATCACAAATACTTAATGTACAAATATAAATATTCATTATTAGGTGATTTGATGCCACCCACCTTTAATCCCAGCTCTCCAGAGGTAGGGTTATCTCCATCAGTTCTAGGCCACCCAGCTTCAGGATGGCAAAGAAAGAGACCACCATTCTAACTCAAGTGACTGTTCAAGGCAAACTTGAATCTTCATCAAGAGGATGTGCTCAGAAGAGCAAATGTGTTGAGATTTTTATTCTAACTCAGGTGGGTACCTATATCTTTTCTCTTGGTTGGGGTCTGACCTCACAGTCTTTTTGGTTTGTTTGTTTTTCAAGACCTCACAGTCTTTTTGGTTTGTTTGTTTTTCAAGACAGGGTTTCTCTGTGGCTTTGGAGGCTGTCCTGGAACTAGCTCTGTAGACCAGGCTGGTCTCGAACTCACAGAGACCTGCCTGCCTCTGCCTCCTGAGTGCTGGAATTAAAGGCATGTGCCACCACCGTCCACCACCTCACAGTCTTAATTCTAGTGTCTATTCTGGAAGAAGGGGAAAGGAAGTCATTGCCTCCTGCCATCATCAGTTCCCTGAAATACATAAAAGTTCTGGCTTCAATTCGGTGGGACGATTAAAGCATTTGTCTGAAAGTCTTAAAAAGTGGGGGAGAAAAAAAAAGATTTGAATTCTTTGCCTTTGAATAAGGCATAGTAAAGAAACCACTGACATGGCTGCTTCATAATGTTTTTCTTTTTAAATTGTGGATGGGAAAGAAAATATCCATAGGCATCTGGAAGAGCCCAGAGCTGAGATTATGGCCAGGGCTTTCTGTGAGAAATGAAGAACAGTGGGAGAGAAGAGTGAAGAGAGTCAGATAGCAAGCAGACGAGGGGGAGGGGGAAGAGGGGGACCCTTAAAGAGTGGAGCTCTAGGACAACCTTAGCATAGGGCAGGAGGAGTAGGGGATATGAGTGGCCAGGAGGCTAGGGACTTTGGGTACTTGTCAGTAGGGACTGTGCTGTAGGCTGGCATGGACTTGATATTCAACCACAAGTGTGAATGTGTGTATGTATGTATGTATGTATGTACGTACGTACGTACGTACATTCGTATATGTCAATAGAGAGCTATAAACCCCATCTTCCAGGCAAGGGAAATGACTCAGAGGAATGCTGACTTTTATCTAACTGCTGGGGCCAAGACTGTTATTTCTGGATATACGGACTTCCTTCGCCTAACAGTCCTAAACACACTTTTTTTTTATAGTCTTTTGATTGAAAAGCCTTCATATTTGATTATTCCTTACATCGAACAATTATAAGGAGAACTACATTTTGCTGTCCTTGTTCTGACTTTGGGTCGGCTTCTTGAGGACAAACAGCTGGAGACACCACAGAGTCACTCACTTCTGTGCTTCTGGGGCCACTTGGTGAAAGGCAAGAAACTGGAGGAAGTCGGTATATTTGATCTTTGTCAGCCTCAACTTTAAGGGCCAACGAGTTAAAACCGTAAGCCAGGCCTCACTTTCCCTTAGCGACTCCGTCGGGGAAAATGCCCACTGCAGGGGTGGCGGCCCCCAGGGCCAACACGGCCCGGGAAGTGCTACCTCCGCCAGAGGTGGGAGGGGCGAGGGACTTCCGGTCGGAGGGAGGCGACTGGCAGTGCGCAAGCGCGACTCTTATTGCTCTCTCTTTCTCCCCTCCCCCTCCCTTCCCCAGCCTGAGGGGTCCCGAGGTGACAGCGCCTGCGAGTGCGCCTGGAGGAGCCGGAGGTGGCGGAGATGGACAGGGCCAGGCCTGGGCGTCGGCGATCTTCGGCTGGTGAGGAGGAGGGCTTGCGCGAGGGCCGAGCGGACCGCGCTCCCTGCGCGTCTGGCGGCCGCTCGGAGGCGCGGTGGGGAGGGAGAGGGCGGGAGGGAGGGCGGGAGGGAGGGAGCGGCGGGGGCGCGCTTAATGGAGAGCTCCGGGGCGGCGCGGGCGCGGCCGTCGGGGCAGCCTGGGCTGCAGCCTACCCCTCCTGCACCCCTTTGCTTGCTCCCTGCTCCCGGGCGCTCGCCTCGATCGTCTCCGGCGCACGGATCTTCCCAGGTGGCCAGCGGCTGACCTGCCACGCCTTCCTCGGCTCTTCATCCGTGGTCACTTTTGGCTTCCACCCACTGCGCACTCCATCTCCCTTTCCTCGGCTCCTCCGAATCCTTGCCTGGCCGAACCCCCCCCCCCCAGCCACCCACCCCGCCACTCTTCCCCCTGGCAGGTAGGAGAGGCTGCACGGAAGGAAGGCGGGGCTTGCCGTTCGCCCCGCTGTTCCGCGAGTAAATACGCCTGGTGTCCCTTTCGTCCCGGCAGGCTCGTTTAATAGCATTTTTCTTTTCCAGCCTCCTGCCTGCATCTTCCAAAAGTGATTTCGAAAGGCAAAGGATTCGAAGCCGGGCTTTTGTTGTCCTTGTTCTTAAATCGCAGCACATTTTTGTTTGGTATTTTATTTCAAAGCTTGAAACTCAAGAACCTCTTAAGTTTTGTATAAAATCGATAGAGAGCACCGCCCAGTCAAGTTATTGTTATACACATCATCTGTTAAGTGCACCTCTTAAGTCCTTGAGTCAAGTCCCGCGTGCATAGAAATGCAGTCTAGTAATACGGTGAATTCATGATTTTTTTTTCTTTTTTGTTGAGAAACGGTCTCTCTGTTTAACTCAGGATGGCGTCAAAGACTCAGTACCTCTGTTCTTCCTGAATGCTGGTGTTACAGGCTAGCTCAGCGCCCCTCCCCCCTTTTTCTTTAGTTTTTCCAGACAGCTTTTCCCTGTATAGACCTTGTGGTCCTGCAACTCACTGTAGAGAAGGCTGGCTTGGACTCACAGGCCTCTCCCTCTGAGTGCTAGGATTAAAGACATGAGCCACCGCTGCTGGCTTAGTCCAGCCCATTTAAAAATTATTATTGTATTGTTTATTTTTGTAGAGCTAGTGTTAATAGTTCCAAGTCCATTTCTGTATGCCCAGTGGCAGTGTGTCTAAAATTTTTACCGTAGAATGGAAGGAGGTGAGCACAGATCACTGAGGACTTGGCTTAACAGAATCGAAACCCCCAGATCTCTTCATATGCACTCGATCGATCAATATTTTTGTCTGTTTTTTGGAGGGATGGTTGTCACCATGCAGTTTTGGAGCTCAGGAATCTCCTGCCTCAGTGTTCTCCGATTGTAGGTGTATGCCACCATGCCTAGGTTTTTTTTTCCCCCCTGTATTTTAAAGATACCAACAGTTCTTTGCCTTTGAAAGTATAATTATGCAAGACATAAAAGGTGTTTTTGTATGTCTTCACTGACCAGTTTTTATTTTGAGATTTCTGATCCTTTTGTTCAAGTGAAATTGACAAATTAGAAAAAATACAGTGCCAAGTGTCACTTACCTTTAATCCCAGTACTCATCAGGAGGCTGAGGCAGTCGGATCTCTATGAGCAGGCCAGCCTGGTCTACAGAGGGAGTTTCAGGACAGCCAGGACTACTCAGAGAAACCCTGTTTTCAAAAACAAAAACAAAAAAAAAAAAAAAAAAAGAAAGACAAATAAAAGTGCAATGTCTAGTATCATTTGGGAGTTTTTTTTTTTTTTTAATGTAGAACTTTAGGCCTAATCATAATCTCAGTTTGATGCAGTTTCTTCTCAGTAAATATGTTTCATCTTGGCATATTACATTAGTATGTGTTAGTGTGTTATAGCAAGTTATCAGCCCTTTTTTCCCATTGGCAAAATCTATCCTCCTTCACCTGATTATATTCATTTATTATTGTTTATTTGATAGATATACTTTTGGAAAGAGAATGTGAGAATAAAGTTGCTAATCTGAAAACACACTGATATTTATGTTAGCTATAGCTCCAGGAAAGCTCTTTTTTGACTGAAGTTTGAGATTAAGACCTCAAATTTATAAAAGACATTGCTACTTATGTCACTGAAGAATTATTTCTTGTGACTTCTCTTTGGAATTGTTCTTTCTACAGAGCAATGTGTAATCAGATCCATTCAGAGATTTACTGTTTTCTAGCCATTGTTTTTCCAGTATGCCTCTAGTTGTATAATGTGAACATTAAAAAACATCACCTAATAAGATACTTAATTTTTCACACGTATATTAACAGAAATAGGCTGGCCTCAGATTCAGAGATCTGCCTGCCGTTGCCTCCTGAGTACTTGGATTAAAGGCTTATGCCACAATGCTTAGTCTTAAAATAGTTTTGATTTATGTATTTTATGTCAATTTATTCTGTGTGTGAGTGCTCTATCTGTATGTATGCCTTTATGCCAGAAGAGGGCATTAGATACCACTATTGATGGTTGTGAGCTGCTATGTGGTTGCTGGGAATTGAACTCAGGACCTCTGGAAGAGCAGCCAGTACTCTTCACAGCTGAGCCATCTCTCTGGAGCCCCTGAAAACACTTTGTAGCAGAGTAATTTTACTCCTTTATCATGAGCCAGTTGTTTTCTTGACTTTGCTTCGGAATGAATCTCTGTGGCATCACCTGAGGTTTATGTACTCAACAAAACCAGTGATCCCATACAGTCTGCAAATGCACTGCTCACAGCTTCAGCTGGGCTGAGATCTGATTTGCAGGTATCTGAAGAGGAGGCTGGTGGACTGCACCATCTCAGTCTGCACCCTTGGCCTAGCTACACTAAGAGCTTCATAAACTTTAATTCCTTTTTTTTCTTTCCGAGTCAGGGGTATGCCACCACCACCCAGCATAAACTTTTAATTCTTTCAAAAAAACTCTTATAAGTGGCTTATTTTGATTTATTGATGGGACTGAGATTTATGAACCATAAGCATTTGTTAGTAAGAACTGGTGTTAGAAGCAGATTAAAAATCTGATCTCTAAATACAATATCTATGGCTTTAACTTCTTTTTCTGCCATTACACGTGAATTTGCCCTACTTTGGAAAAAAAAATTTCCATGACTAAAAAACTAGTTTGGATTTAAAACAAAACAAAAGCCTTCAGGATTTTGAAATTCTTTGTGTGCTCTGGTACGTTTTTTGCTCGGTTAAGAAAGTAGCTTTCAGGCCTCGAGGTGGTGGTGCACGCCTTGGTCCCAGCACTTGGGAGGCAGAATCAGGCAGATCTCTGAATTTGAGGTCAGTCTGGTCTACAGAGTGAGTTCCAAAATAGCCAGGGCTGTTGCACAGAGGAACTCTGGAAAAACCAAGGGGGGGAAAAAGTGTCTTTCAAGTGAGGATAGCACAAAAGGACTGAAGGGAGGAGAGGAAGGGGAGAAGCTGATGTAATTCTGAGGATTGGTGAGATGATTCAGTGTGTAAAGATGCTTGCTGTCAAGACTGACACATGAATTCACGTGATGGTGGAAGAGATACAATTGCTGCTCATTGTCCTCTGACCTCCATCCACATAGCACTGGAATATGTACGACCTACCCTCCCCCAATAAATACATGAAAAAGTAGCTGAGTGCTTCCCGATTTCTTCTTCAGTTCCATCTTAAGGGATTAGTGTACTACGTGCAGCAGTTGGTCCAGGTGACGTCTGCTTCGAAGTACTGGAAATGTAATGTGACCTAGACCAGCAAGTTGTTCTTTAGTGACAGGCTTCTAAGGGCAATAACCAGAAGATGAGAAGATACAGAAGATTGGAAAGCTGGAGTCAAAAGGTCTTGCACAAGCTATGTCTTATTCCAAGCAAGTCTATTAAGAAGTTTAGTATCTTATGTACGGTTTCTAGGGAGAAGTCAGAGTCAGCAGAAAACTCATACAATGGGATGAAGTCAGCAAGAAGCTAATCAAGTCAATTTTTCACAAAGAGAACACAAGATATCTCAAGTGCATCACAGACAAGTGCTCTAAAGATTTTGGGACTGATAACTGCAGTCCTTCCAGGAGGGAAAAGTTGAGCTCTTGGGATCTGGAAAACAGCAGCTCCCCCAAAGTCCTGGCCCCAGGCCATTACAGGCCTTGCTAAGTATGAGCTTATTTTAGACAAAGGACAAGTAAGAGTAGAGAAACAAAAGGATTAAAAAAGAAATAGGATGATTGATTGGGAAGGGAGCAGAAAGGAGTGATTGGAGAGGAAAATGGCTAAAGAGCTATCAGGTGACATATAGGGGAGTTAGTTAATAGGATGAGGTGTTGGAAGAGAGTGGGACTGGAGTAGATTTGATGGCAGGGAACAAAGTGGATTGAAGATGAATATGGATACAGTATGAGATGTTAATGGTAACCGCAGTCATGGCTTTCTATGAAATTGGTATTATGAAAAAGGAGTTTTTAAATAACAGCAGCTCAAGAATAGGAGATCATATAGGGATTAATAAAGGAAATAAGTAATCTCAGAGTTTTAAAATGTGAGTTTGCATCTGCCTGTGGTGGTATATGACTAATCCCAGTACTTGGAAGGCAGAGGCAGGCAGATCTGAGTTCTGGGCCAGCCTGGTTTGTAGGGCTACGCAGGGAATTCCTGTCTTGAAAAAGAGTGTGTTTGCAGTGGTTAGGTTAAGTACTTGGAGAAAATAAGTAACTTTGGGTAAAGTGATGTGACAGTATATGGGGTCAAGGAATAGATCCAAGGGGAGGGGGGACGTTGAGGGGCCAAAGGACAGCATGTTGTTGAATGAGAGGTTCAACAAATTGAACAATTCAAATTGGTTTAACAGTTCAAGGGTGAAGCTGGTTGTGTTGGTGCATGCCTTTAACTCCAACTCTTGGGAGACAAAGGCAGGCAGATCACTGTGAGTTCTAGTTCACCCTGGTCTACATAGGGAGTTCCACGGCAGCAGGGGCTAAATAATGAGGCCCTATCTCAAAAAAACCAAAAGGTTGGGTGGCACCTTTGACCTTAATTCTAATGAAAGTTGAAATAGAGATGTGTAGTTCATAGTAAGCAAGAGAGGAGTTCATTGTTTTAAGTGAGTTGATTCAGGGGAGTTAGTACTTCACAATAATGTAGAGGAAAGCTATGAACCAAAACTGAGAGTTCTAGGACCTGTTACACTTGAGCTGTAAGTAACATTTACAAATATGGGCGAGGAAAGATACTGAGTTTGTGGAAGCTTTATTTTATATGGTGACATCAGTTTATACAGGTTTCATGATGATAATTTGATACATGTGTATGATGTATAGTTATCAAATCTAGTAATAAGACTTTTTATCTTTTCCAAGATGAGCCATTTACATGTTGGGAATTTGATACTCCTGTAGTCATTTTGAGAATATAGATTTTTTTAAAATAGTAATTACCCCACTGCATTTCAGAAAAAACCCAAAACCAAACCAACCAACCAAAAAAAAAACCAACAACAAAACCAAAAAACAGAACAACACAACAAAATCCCCAAAACCCAGAAGGAGAAGGCTGGAGGGATGGTTCAGCAGTCATGAGTACCAGTTGCTTATCCATGGGACCTGGATTTGATTTCCACCATCCACATGGCAGCTCACAACTGTCTGTAACTCCAGTTCCAGGGTATCTGAAGCTGGTTTTTTTTTTCTTTTTCTTTTTTTTTTTTTTTTTTTTTTTTTTTGAGACAGGGTTTCTCTGTGGCTTTGGAGGCTGTCCTGGGCCTAACTCTTATAAACCAGGGTGGTCTCAAACTCAGGAGATCTGCCTGCCTCTGCCTCCCCAGTGCTGGGATTAAAGGCATACGCCATCACTGCCCAGAAAATGTGTAGCTCAGGCTGGCCTCAAACTCGTCATCCTCCTGCCTCTGCCTCCTTCAGCAAATCCTATGGGTGTGCACCACTACAACTGTCCAGAAGCTGTCTTTTGGCCTTCTTGGGCAACAGACATACATGTGGTGTATAGACATGTGCAGGCAAACTACTCTTACACACAGAAGAAAACAAAGCAAAGCGAAACAGAGCTAATTCCTCCTCTTTGTACTTTGCAGCTTTTGTTGTTATTTTGAGACAAGTCTCACTATGTAGTTCTGACTGTCGTAGCTGTGTAGATGAGGCTGTTTTGAACTCACAGAGATCTGCCTCCTAAGTGCTGGGATTAAAGTTGTGTTGCACCATGTCATGAAAACCAAGAGACCTAGGTCAGTCTCCAGAGTCTGCCTAAAGATAGGCTTCATAAAGTCCTCCAACCTCCTACCTCCTCTTGGATCCATCTCTACCCACATAATTTTGTTGCTTCTGTCCCTCTTCCTTTGCCTATGGAGTGCAATTTGTGTTGCTCAGATACTCTTGGGTGTGGAGCCCTTCCCCTACCAATGGTCACACCTTTAAAGAAAACCGACTCTCCCTCTCCCCTCACCTGTCAGTTGTCATCAGTTCTCAGGTAGGAATTAGACTTTGTGATCACCTCCCTCTTCCATGCTGGGATTTGTGTCTGGCTTGTGCCTGCACGGTTACTCTTCTCTGTACCTTGATCAGTTGTGAGTTTTTGTGTTAAATCACCATATACTGCAAAAAGAAGCTTCTATGATGAGGATTGGGAGATGTTCTTGTCTGAGTACAGTAAGCCAGGAGGGCTTTAATGCTATGTCCCTTTAACAGAACAATAGTAGTAGGTGCTCCCTTAGGTGCTATGAACTGTCTAGCCCCAGATAACAGTGTCCAGGTGTGGGTTCCATCTTGTGGAGAGGCCCTTAAATCCAATCAGAAAGTTGCTCCCATGGCAACCCTGTCACTATTGTACCAGTGGGCATGTCTTATATGGCTTGTGGTTACTTAGCTCACAGAATTGATTGGTGGGTAAGGTTATTGGTGGGTAAGGACCTTCCAGCACTATGAGAGCTCGTCTATAGGGATAAAGCTTTAGTTGCAAAGTTCTTCATACTTGCATGCCTTTACTTGTATAGTCACCATGTAGCTCAGTATACAGAACACTCCTACTATTTTATCAGGCTTAATTTGCACCCTTCCCCAGTTAATATTCCCTTTATTCTCTATATCCTCCATTGTTGAAAATAATGCCATCATAGATTTGTTCTAATTGTAGAATGTCACAGTTGTGCATCTGATTTCCATGGAACAGAATACCTGTGAGATGCATCCACATGGTGCTTGGAAGTAATCCATTCTCTTTTGTTACTCTGCAGCTTTCCTTGGTACAAATATATTTATACATTACTAGTGGTAGATAATTTGGGTTGTTTCTAGCTTTTGGTTATTAAGGACAAAGATAGCATGAACATTTTGTTTCTCTTGGTTATTTACCTAGGAGTATAATAGATACTGAGTGTAGGCAGGTAAATATCTAACAGACACTGGCAAAGCAGATACACTCATTTAACTTTTTCTGACAGATTATTAGTCTCTCTCCAATAATTGGTAATGATAGTCTTTTAAATTTTATTGTCATTTTAGCTGTCATTTCCCTAAATGGTTGTATCTTGACTATTGGATATACATATGTACATACATACAAGTGTGAAATGTTTGCTAAAGGCTTTTGTCCAGTTTAAAGATGGAATTTTATTGTATTAATCTTTTTTTCCCTTTCTTCTCTCCTGCCCTCCCCTGCCTTGCTGAGCATGTGTTCAGCCACATGGTAGTACATGCCTTAGCCCAGGGAGTTCCCTATATATACTTTGACAAATAATTTATTATAACTTATGTTCTAGACTTTGCTCTTTACTGTCATAATGACGACTTCTGCTAACCAGAAGCACACTTTATTGATCTTTTAATTTTTGGTAATATTTGTGCCCTATTTGAGAAATCTTTGCCTTTTCCAAGGCTATGAAAATCTCATAGTTTCTATTGTATAAACCTTGTTTTATTTTGACATTGAAAGGTATGATCCATTTGAAATTAGTTTTTGTATATAGTATGAGGTTTAGGGATCAAGGTTGGTATTTTTTATTTATTTTTTACATTTCATTTGGTTATCACATTGCTTCCCTGAGCCCGGGGTGATGCAAATGTAAGGATTTGAGTTCAAATCTCCAACATTGTCATAGAAAGCCTAGTGTAGGTGTGTGCACCTGTAATCCTAGCACTATTGTGGCTAGAGACTGGGTTCACTGGCTGCTGACCCTGTTCCATGTCCAGTTCGAGATCTAACTTGAAAGGAATGAGGCAGAGAGTGATAAACAGGACACCCGATGTCCTCCTGTTTTCCCCACATATGCAAGGATGTGTGCAGCCTGCATGTAAACACCCCACATGTTCAAGTACATGTACACAAATGTACAAACACAAAAAATTGCTTCACCATTATTTATTGGCAAAAATCATCCCTTTCTTATTGAACTACAGTAATATGCCACAAGTAGATGACTAGGTGTTATGTGTGTATAAGTATATTATCGTTTATTTTTATTATAAAATCTGTGTTATAACTTAGTAGGTTAAAGTTTATTTTTGAACAGGACCTCACCATTAGCCCTAGCTTTTCTGGAACTTACTGTGTAGACCACAAGGCTAGCCTTGAACTCCCAGAGATCCATCTGTTTCTTCTTTCTGGTGCTAGGATTGAAGGGGTGTTCCACCATGCTGTGAGTTACAATTGCTAAGAAATCTTGGGTTGTGTCTGATTTGCTGTGTTACTTATATTCAGTGCTTAGCATAGTGACCAGCACATGACGGCCATTTAGTCAATATTTCCTGATTGAATGAGAATTCATAGAAGAAAAACCCATAGAAGGTCTGAAAAATGTCCATGAGTAAAGAGTAAAAGTATTTCCCTTTGTGCAGCATGTGTGTGTGTGTGAGAGAGAGAGATCATTTTGTAGAATACTGCCAACTTCTAGATAATCTCCCCTCTGCTCCCCATCATAAGACTTTGCCCAACCATCTGATTCTACCATGGGTATCTTCATCAGGAAATTCCTGTTTAGTTTTCTGCTTTTTTTTGAGACAGGATTTCTCTGTGATACTGCTCTGGCTGTTTTGGAACTCACTTTGTAGATCAGGCTGGCCTCGAACTCAGAGATCCACAGCTTCTGCCTCCTGAGTGCTGGGGCTAAAGGCATGCGCCACCACCACCCAGCTGCTTCTCTCTTTTTAATTGTCCTTGTGTGTGTGTCTACTGGAGGCATGTGTGACAGTCTGTCACACTGACACTCAGCAAACTTAGATCTTTAGGCATGCACTTTTGTGTCTGTAAAACATCAGTGTATTTTAATTTTAAGTAAGGGATAGGTAGAAAGGGATCCTGTTCATTCAGTTACGTCATTCAGATGGTAAATAATAATTTTTATTATGTCTTTGGTTTTTGTAGAGATTGTCACAGAGGGAAAAAGGAAAAAGTCATCAGCTGATTTACAGGAGGTATGTGTTAATGTGTTTATCAACTTTGAAATTACTGATACCGGTAACATTTTGCCGTTTCATCTTAACATGTAAATTGCTGATTAAAGTTTCACAGTATGTTTTTATATTAAAAGGAGCCAGGCAGTGGTGGTGCATACCTTTAGTCTCAGCACTTGGGAGGCAGAGGCAGGTGGATCTCTGAGTTTGATGCCAGCCTGATCTACAGAGTGAGTTCCAGGACAGCCAGGGCTACACAGAAATATCCTCCCTGTCTTGAAAAACCAAAACCAAAAAAAATAAACCAGAAAAAAAAATTTTCTTCATTAATTCTATAAGCCCAAACTAGCAAAGCAATTTTAATTTCTACTTATATAACAAGTTTTTAAAATCATTCTTTGAAAAAGAAATGATTCCCCTCTCCAGGCATTTTGTGATTTAAGTGTAGCAACCCGATTAACACATCATTATTTATTAGATAACTTGTTCTTCTTTCATTCATGATTTTTTATTTATGTATAATTGGAAACATTGGGTTTTTGTTTTGTTTTGGTTTTTTGAGACAGTTTCTCTGTATTGCTTTGGAGCCTGTCCTGGAACTAGCTCTGTAGACCAGGCTGTCCGGGAACTCACAGAGATCCACCTGCCTCTGCCTCCTGAGTGCTGGGATTAAAGGCGTACACCACCAACACCCGGCTCTGGAAATAATCTTTTATTCTGTATCTTTCTTTTATTTTTTGAGGCAGGGACTTTCTTTGAAGCTCTGGCTGTCCTAGTACTATGTAGACTGGGTTGCCTTTAACTCACAGAGATCTGCTGCCTCCCAAGTGCTGGAATTAAAGGTATGCACTACCGTGCCCAGCTACATGCTTACCTTTAATTTAGAACTTTTTTTTATGTTATGCAATTGTAGGATTTGGGAAAGGAGGGTGATGAGGGGAATTCAAGAATGCCTTAGATGACCACGTAGGGAACATTGTTTTAGGTATTGGTTTTCATTGGCTTACTTAGAATCTGCAAGGGGTGTTTTCTCCATTTAAAATGTTGAATTTAAATTAAGTTGGGTGAAAGATAGAGATAGATTTCCTTTTTTAATTGCCAGATCAGATACTGTTGTATCTAGTGACTCTGCTCATTTTCTGTTGCTATTATAATAAGGATACTTGAGACTGGTAATTTGTAAAGAAAAGGATTGTTGGGCCAATGAGATGGCTCAGTGAGTAACAGAAAATAAGTGTACTTTGTTCAGAGAATTGGAGAGCTATTGACATTTTTTCCTCTCATGACAGGAAAGCAGGTTAGAAACAGGAACTTGAGAGAGATTGAGGGGAGAGTTCCAGGATTTCTTTGTAACAATCGGCTTTCCTCCTCCTCTTCCTCCTCTTCTTTAATAGACTGCTTTTTAAAGTTATTATTTATTTTAGGTACGTTGGTGTTTTGCCATGGCTGTTGGGTTCCCTGGAATGGACATTACAGACAGTTGTGAGCTGTCATGGGGGTGCTGGGAATTGAACCCAGGTCCTATGGAAGAGCAGTCAGCACTCTTAACCACTGAGCCTTCCCTCCAGCCCCCATCTTCTTCTTCTTTTTAAAGCATTTATTTATTTATTTATTTATTTTTTATTTATTTATTTATTTATTTATTTACAGTTTTTCAAGATAGGGTTTCTCTGTGTAGCTTTGGAGGCTGTCCTGGAAGTAGCTCTTGTAGACCAGGCTGGTCTTGAACTCACAGAGATCTGCCTGCCTCTTCCTCTTGAGTGCTTCGATTAAAGGCTTGGGCCAACACCACCTGGCTCTCTCTCTTCTTTGGAGAAAAGAGTCTCACTGTGTAGCCTTAGCTGGCTTGGAATTCTCTATGTAGATTAGGTTGGCCTCAAATTCACAGATACTGTTTCTGCCTCCCAAGTGCTAGGATTAAAGGTATTTGATACCTCACCCGGCCCAGGAAGGTCTCTTGAGCCTAGAAGGTTGAAGCTAGCCTGGGCGACTTATCTGTAATAATGAATTAATACATTACTGTCATGGTCTCTTCCCTGGCTTTAGAAAAGTATTGGATAATAATTTGTGTAGAGTATTTCTCAATCTGAATAGACTGTGTGTGTGTGTGTGTGTGTGTGTGTGTGTGTGTGTGTGTGTGTGTGTGTCTTACTGTTGATGATGTCAGCCTGATTGTTTGGTTAAGGCAGTATCTCTTGCTTACTCCCCTGTATGATTACCCATTTTCTCCTTATGATTAGTAGGTACCTTGGAGCAGACTATAACTTAATGCAATTTGGTATTATAACTGCTCAGTATCTTGGCATCTTCTAGTGGATCTTTATTGAAATCCTTTTGATTTTGATTTTTCTTTTATTTTTTGCCAAAAGGCAATAATAAATAATCCTTCTTCATTCCTTTTTTTTTTTTTTTTTTTTTGGTTGGTCGAGACAGGGTTTCTCTGTATTGCTTTGGAGCCTGTCCTGGAACTAGCTCTAGCTCTGTAGACCAGACCAGGCTGGGTTTGAACTCACAGAGATCCACCTGCCTCTGCCTTTCAAGTGCTGGGACTAAAGGCGTGCACCACCAGCACCCGGCTCCTTCTTCATTTCTAAATGGAAATTTTTCTGTAATGAAGTGCTGTCATCCTTCCACTTATTTAATATGTCAAGTTGCTTTCAGATACTTATTTCATTATGTTTATTATAATCTGCTCTTGATGATTCTGTTAGTCAAAGTTTTGGCAATCATGTATCTTTCAGATTGGCTCCTGTCTTCCCTTGTGTGTGTGTGTTGTATGTGTATTCATCTGTATGCAGACACACATACAAAGGGCACATGTGTACACATACATGTGAACTCTAGGATCTGTGGGTTTCTACCTCTCGAATGTTAGGATTACAAGTGGGAGCCACCATGCATACACATACACACATACATGCATAATATATATAATATATATATATTATATGTATTTGTGAATTTGGGATTGAATTCAGGTTGTTGTGCTTTCAAAGTAAGTAGTTTTACTGACTAATGTATTTTCCTAGCCTTCTTGAGCCCTTTTGGCATAGTCTTGTTTACTTATTTATTTGAGTGCTTCCTTCCTTCCTTTTCTTCCTTTTCCTTTTGTTTTTGTTTTTCAAGACAGTTTTCTCTTGTGTAGTCCTGGAACTCACTGGAATGCTGTGATTAAAGACATGTGCCATACTGCCCACTTTATAGTATTGTAAGAAACGCTTTTGGCACTGCAGGATGCTAGTTTTGTTAGTTAGACTGTTGCTGTGACATGCTTATGAGAGAAACATCATGGAGGAAGGGCATGGTGGAGAAAAGCTGTCTGTTTGTGTCAAGACAGTCAGGAAGGGAAGAGGGGTAACAGAAGTGATCCAGGGCCAGAATGGCATGCTTCCAAGGCATGACCCAGGGAGATACCTCCTTAGCTGGGCTTTGCTGCCTTCCCTCGGCTTTCCAGTCATCTATTCAGATTTTGAACCTGTCACCATCACTTAGTTATGTTATGGATTAAGTAAGGCCCCATGGTTTAATCTCTGGAAACACCCTCACAGACGTTCAGATGTGTTCTACTAATCTCAGTGCAGTGCAAGTGTCTTTCTGTCCAGTTGACTGTCAAGACTATTCATCACTCTTACCAGGAGGCCCTGAGTTTGATCCCCCAACAGTATATGATACTGAAGTAAATGCTTTAGAGATACTGTTTTTTTTTTTTTCAAGTGAAGAATTACAAAGAAACGCTGTTTAATACAGAAAAGCAACAAGTAGGAAGTTATTGGTAGTCAAGATTAGCTATCCCTTAGTGATGTAAGCTATTGATGTTAGAGTTGAGGTATACTTTCTTCAAATGTATTCTGTCCTCCTGGCTTTCTTCTCATAGAAACACTAGTGGGGAGGAGGGTTTTGATAATTGAACCTAGGGCCTTATGTACATGCTATGCCGGCACTCTGCTGCTGAACTTCAGCCCCTTGTATGTTATTTAATGCTTAGTTATTTATAAGTTTTAGGTATTTAAGTTTTAAACAACTGATTTCTAACTTGTTGCATTTCATGCATTAATTTTTAAAGTTTAACTGCCACGAAATTATAAAGTATTTGGGTGTAGTAGACAGAAGTCTGTAATCCCATCTCATGGGAGACAGGAGGATTTCCACAAGTTTGAGGCCAGCATTGGTCTGCTTAATAAGTTCCAGGCTAGCTGGGGGCTATATAGAAAGATCCTTTCTCAAAAAACAGACAAAAAGAGAAAGAAAATGAAGAACCAGGACCCTCAGTTTGAAGAAGACCGTTATATAGATAAATAGAAATAGCTGTGATATGGTATGAGTAATATAAATAATTTAAAATAATTATTTTAAAGGTGTGGCTTCAAGTAAGGATGATGCTTGTGAAGATAATTTTCAGACAAGTCCAGAGTATTTCATAAGAAATATAGGGAAGAGCAACCTAGGTTGAAGAAATAGTATATAAAAATAGTTAGAGATATAAAATAATGCAACCTGTCTGAAGGAAGTTAGCAACTCCATAAAGTGGAATTGCAGAGTTTTAAATCTGTGGGTGATATGAAACATTCCTAAATCTAAACTTTTACTTGTCAGTAATGAGTGCCATTGTTGTATTTTGGATATTATAATTATGAATGGCTTTGTGTGTTATATAACTGCATTAGATAGATTAGAAGGGGAAGAGACTAGGCAAAAGCATAGTATTTTGAAGCTAATGTAATTCTTTATTTACCTGATTTCATGCTTATGAGAAGATATTTTTAATGCAACTGTATTGAACTGAAATCTTCAAAACTGTTAGAGTGTTTATGTAGAGCAGTAGACAGTGCCTCGGTTGGTTGCTTCTGTACATTTCAGTTAACCTAACTGTTTTCTTGTCCTGGTTTCAGATAACAAAGTTGTTAGCTGTACAGTCAGAGGATGCCCTTGCTCAGTCACCATTGTCCAAACTCAGAGGCTCAGAGTGCTGGAAGCTCCCCAAGGGGGTAAACTCACTTTTAAAGTACATCGTTTTGTTTGATATGTTTACAATATGTTAGTAAATAAATTTTTGTTTTTTTATGTGTCCTTTTTAATTTTCTGTGTAATTAAAGATTTTATAATAGCTTATGTCTGATATATGTTAAAATAAAACTTATGGAGATTAGGATCTTGGGCCTTCAGTTTAAGTATACCTTATTCATGGTTGATTTATGAAATTTTGATCTCATTATTATAAAAATAAATCATTTTAAGGTCACTAAAACTTTAGGTTTAGTAAAATTATTGTTCTTCCTTAATTTTTTTTTAAATTAATGTTTGAAAAGGTATCTCTTTCTATTTTGGAGTCAGGGTTTTGTAAGGAGTAGGGTTTTTCCTCCCGCCTCCCGGTCTTGTCCCGCCGCCGTGCCAGCCCCAAATAACGCACAGAGACTCTGTATTTGATACAGTGCTATTGGCCAGGTGCTAGTTTCTTATCGGCTAGCTCTGTCTTAATTATTAACCCATTTCTATGTATTTCCACGTGGTCTTACCGAGAGCGGAGGAATGGCGGGTCTGTTCTCTCCAGACTCTCCATCCTGGCCCTTTACTACTTATTTCCTCCTTGTCTCCTAGTCCCTCCTATCTTCCTTTCCTATTGGCCAACAGTGCTTTATTCATTAACCAACATGAGAAACATTTACAGAATGACATCTCCCATCAGGGTTTCTCTGTGTTGTCCTGGCTATCCTGGAACTTACTCTGTAGACTAGACTGCCTTTGAACTTAGAGATCACTTGCCTCTGCCTTCTGAGTGCTGGGATTAAAGGTGTGCCCCACCACACTTGGCAAGAGGGTATCTTTTAACTGGAGCTATAGCTGAATTCCAAAAGATACTCTGGGGGGTTAGAGAGCTAGCTCTGTGGTTGAAAGTACTAGTTACTCTTCTAGAGGACTATGGTTCAGTTACCAGCACCTATATGACAGCTCACTCCAGTTCTAGGGAATTCAATGCCCTCTTCTCTCCTCTGCAACCATAAGCATGTAAGTGGTACACAGACATACATGAATACAAAATACTCACGTGTGTGTGTGTGTGTGTGTGTGTGTGTGTGTATACACCTATATATAGTAAATAAATGAATGTTAAAAAGAAAGAGAAATGTTTTTAAAAGGTTATGAGTATACATCTAGACCTTTAATATTATGATTTGTTATTGGTGTAGGGTTCTGATAGTTACCTATAGTAGCATTTTGTTATTTTTGCTGTTGGAGATGGGGTCTGGCCATGTCGCCTAGAGTGGGATGCCACTCCCTCGACACCCTGAGTGTCTGGGACTACAGACATGCACTCCTGCTTCTGACTCAGCCCTTCTTTCCTTTTTGGGACAGTCTCACAGTAGCCCAGGGTGGTGTTACACTCTTCAACTCTCTGATTCAGCCTCCACAGTGCTACCGTGTCTTGTCCTACTCTGTGTGTGCGCGCGTGTGTGTGTGCATACATGCGTGTATGTGTGTGTGTGTGTGTGTGCCTGTGTTAATGAGTGTGGGGGGGTATGGACATGTGTGCAGAGGCCAGATAACAACTCTGTTGGTGTGTGTGTGTGTGCGCGCGCGCCTGTGTGCCTGTGTGCCTGTGTTAATGAGTGTGTGTGGGTTATGGACACGTGTATGCAGAGGCCAGATAACAACTCCGTTGGTTCTTCCTCTGATACTGTCTACCTTTTTTTGAAAGATAGGCTCACTCTCTGGCCTGGAACTCACCAAGTAGGTTAGGCTGGCTGCCTAGGGACCCCCAGTCACCCTGTGATACCATGTTTGCAAATACATGCCACCACCCCTCCATTTTGAAAATGTGGGTCCTAGTGTTTGCAAGGCAGGCTCTTTACCTACTGAACTATTTCTCCAGTCCCCTGTCATTAAAAAAAAAAAAAAAAAAAAAAAGAAAGAAAACTAATTTTATTCTTTTGCTTGAAGTAACTTATGATTGCTTTTGTTTTTTGTTTTTTTTTTTTATGTTATATATTTATTTGTAGTAGGCTTGAACCTAAGGCCTTGCATTTTCTAGGCACGTGTTCTACCACTGAAGTATACCCAGTCCTTTTCTTTAAACAAATTCAAGACAGGCTCTTGCTAAGTCACCGAGGCTGGCCTTGAACACACACTGTAGTCCAGGCAGGCCTTTAAGTTCTTGACTTTTCTGCTTCAGCTTCCTGGTCAGCGGGAATTATAGACTCGAACCACCAGGCCAAACTTGAATTTTGTAAAAATAGAATTATTCTCAGATTCTAGTTTATTTATTTGTAGCTGTTTTAGTTCTAGGGCTACCATACTGCCATAGACCAGATGGTTTAAGCACGAGAAATTACTTCCTCACAGTGGTGAGTCTGCAAGTGAAAGATAATGGTGGTGGCAGAGGGCTTTACCTAAGCCTTCTCTCCTCCCGCGAGGACAGCTGTCTGACTGTTCTTGACACTTCCTGGTTAGCCCTTGTCTTAGTCACTGTTCTATTGTTTTGAAGAGACACCATGATCAAAGCAGCGCTTAGGAAAGAAAGCATTTAACTAGGGGCTTGCTTACCCAGCGTATTTCAGAGATCATCATGGCAAGGAGCAGGGATCATAGCTTCATGCATGGTACTGGAGCAGTAGTGGAGAGCTACGTCGTGATCTACAAACCAAGAGAGGCAGATGGAGACTGGGCCTGTCATGGGCGTTTGAAACCTCAAAGCCCACCTCAAAGTGACATACTTCCAACGAGGCCACATACCTAATTCTTGTAATCCTTTCCAACAGCTCCATTCTGTGGAGACTAAGATGCAAATATACGAGCCTATGGGGGCCATTCTCTTTCAAACCACCACATTCAAGTACACATACTTGAATCTGTTTTTGTTTTTTTTAAATAAAAACAACAGTTCAATTGGATTAGTATTCCAGCCATGCAACCTCAATTTAACTTTATTATTTTTTGAAGCAGAGTTAGAATTATGAGATTTTAAGGAGTTCGGGGCAAGAGAAAGAAGAATACTCAAGAAGGGAACAGACACACTTGAGAATGTATTGGTTGTAGGCATCTCAAAGGATAGTCACCCAACATTCATTACTTTTTAAAAGGCTTTATTTCATGGATAGTATAGTCTTTTTTTTTTCTTTTGTTTGTTGGTTTGTTTTTTGAGACAGTCTTTCTATGAAGATCTGGCTGTCCTGGAGTACCTCACTGTATAGACCAGACTGGCCTTGAACTCATAGAAATCTGCTTGCCTCTGCCTCACAAGTGCTGGGATTAAAGGCACAACCACACCTGAAATTACAACCACACCTGTCTGTAGGGACTGTCTTAGTTACTGGGATTCCTCGGCCAAAGCCTGGCCTCAGCAGCTACTGACAGTTTTTACCCATTTTTTTTTTTTTTAAACACACTTAAATCTACTTTTTAAAAACTTTATTTCAATACATATTTAAGTTTTTTATTTGTGTGTGTGCATAAGCATGCATATTGCTCTGGTGTGTGCATGGAGGTCAAAGGACAGTCTTCAGGGTCAGTTCTCTATTATAGGTTTTATATATTCAGGTCAATCTGTCTGGCTTGTCTAGCAAGTGCGTTACATGCTGAACTCTCTTACTAGCCTTTCCATATATTTTGTTTTTTATTGATATACAATAATTATACATATTTGAGATAAATTCAGACATTTCAATACATGTATATGGTTAGATTATGCCTGTCTTTTACCTCAAGCATGCTTCTTTGTGTTAGGAATGTTGAAAATCCCATCTTTACCAGGCATATGGCACAGGCCTTTAATCCCAGCACTTGAGAGGCAGAGGTAGTCGGAGCTCTGTGAGTTTGAGGCCAGCCTGGTCTACAGAGTGAGTTCTAAGGAAGCTAGAGAGCTATATGGTGAGACCCTGCCTCAAATAACCAAAAGGAAACAAGCAAAACAAAAAAAGCCCATCTATGAGCCCAATTAATTGAAAATGTTTGACTGCTGTCAACCATAGACATCTTACTAATGCAATTTCTCATGCTGAACTGCATCCTAGTATCCATTAACAATTTATTGCTTCATCTCCTAGACCCTTCATAGGATCTGGTATCTGCTAGTTTTTGCTTGCTGGAGATTACCTTTTTGGTGTCTGCATGTATTTTTTTTTAAAAAATGATAATTCTGTAAAACTTCATTGTATGAAACATCAAGTAGAAATACTGTTACAGCAAGCATAATGTATATGTATGAAATATGGAGAGCCACTTTTTGAGTGGGACATTTTAGGGAATTGTGTATTAAATTTCAGTAGATGTTACAAAACGGTCTCAGAAAATTTGGACCAGTTTATGTTGCCACCAGTGAGAGCATTAATTTCTCTACAAACTTAACAGCTCTGGATACTATCACAATAATGGCTAATTTTGGTGGTCAGGTTGCCTCGATTGAGAACTGCTAAGGTGATTAGAAAAGCTCACCTCTGGGTGTGTCTGTGAGGGCATTGCCAGTGATGCATCACAAGGATTAGTGAATGGATTAGTGCCTTGATGGATCCGTAGTTTGGTGGCATTACTGGGAGATGGTGAAAAGTAAGAGATGGGGGCTGGTTGGAGAAAATAGGTCACTGGTGATGTTTCTCAGAAGGCTGCCTATCCCCCTGGCTTCTACCTTTCTTTGCCTTTTCTATTCTTTCCACCATAGATAGACATTTCTGAAACCTTAATAAAAAGAAGGAACTCCTCTCTTTAAGATGTCTGCCAGGTAGGCAAAGTAATAAAGAAAATCACAGTAAAATGATTGCCAGTTTGGAAGAAAGAAAAGTAATCTTGTTTGTTTTGCTTTGATAGTGGCTCACTGTAGCCCATCTTCATTTATTAGAAACAGCTTTAAGCTTGCTGTCATTGTGTACATCTGGCATCCCTTCTTTTCCGTGTCAAACTTCTAGAACTCTCTGAATGTCTACAAGAAGTCATGGGGTAGTCTCAGCTTACCCCTCTGTTTTTGGCAAAATAGCCCTTCTTCTAGTTACACTCCTTT